TCTAAAATACTCTTAATCTTTTTTAATGTGAATGAAATTAAAAATTAATAGAATTATAAAAAATAAACGACTGCTAAGTAAGAATTTTGGTAAAAGTTTAGAACAATTCTACTAATTATAAGAAAATAAAAATTAATAGATTAAAAATATTTTAGATATTTTCAAAACAATTTCAATAATTAACACCTGATAAGGATTTAAATATTTTATCCGATTTTATTGGATCTTTTTTCAGTTAGGTCATACCTTATGGACCAAAATGATTTAACTCGTAAAATAAACTAAAGCTTTAAGGGGGCGTTTGGTTGGAGGTTACATAGGATTACTGAAGTTATGTCATCTTATATTACTTGATTACTGCGTTTGGTTGTTAAGTAATATAAGATTTCAGTAATCTTCCAATACCAATAATAGTTACTGTTGATAATATTAGAGGTAATCTTATAACTTCCATTTTCTTAGGTATTGTAAGATTACTTGGTTATCTTATTTTTATTACAATTTTATTCCCTATTAATAAAATTTTTGGACAATAATGCCTTGTTTTAAAATCAATTTACATTAATTTGGATTTTTACAATTTTACCCTTGTTTAATTAAGTTTTTGGGCAAAATTACCTTGAATTCAAAACAAATTGTAGACCACCACCACCACCACCCAACCACCACCGCCGGCAACTAGCCAACCACCGAAAGTCGTCAGGAGTCACCAAGAGTTGCCCGGGGGCTCCGATATGGTCGTTTCTAGCCATATTGATGGCAAAAAATGGCTTTATTGAAGTAGATCTGGTCGGAAATGGCCAAATCTATTCTGGCTATTTTCGGCTAGATTGATGGATCTGGTTGGAATAGATTTGGCCATTAAAGGCCAGATTCATGGCCGTTAAAGGTCATATCTCGCCTAGATATGGTCGTTAAAGGTCATGGATCTGGCCGGAAATGGCCATAATAGATTTGGTCATTTTTTGCCAGATCTACTTCGACGTGGCTATTTTCGGCCATTAATATGGCTAGAAACAGTCATATCGGAGCCTCTCGACGAATCCCAATGATTTTTAGCCACTTCCGACGGCGGATGGTGGTGGTAGGCAATGGCTTGGGGTGATTTTTTTATAAATTAAAGTTTTATATAAGCTAGGATGTTTTAGCTAAAATTGAAATGTTGGGGGTTAAAAGAAATTATTCAAAAATTAATAATAAAAATAATATTATATTAATATTTAAAAAGAGGACAATTTAGTAATTTAAATAATATATCCACCAATTTATTCCTCCTAAACAAACGTATTAATATAATATATCCACCAATTTATTCCAATTAACCAAACACATTTTCTTAAAGATTCCCAATAATCTTCAAGATAATCTAACTTTCTATTAATATAAAATTCGCAAGAATCCAACATTCCCTGAACCAAACACACCCTAAGGGACAAGATCAAGTTCTTTGCATCTCTCTGGCCTTCTGTCTCAAAAGAATTTAAGCATGGGAAGTGATTTTTAGTCCTATCAAATTGATCAGTATCCACATTACTAAATACATCTCTATTTATTTATTTTTTTAAATCTCTTTAAACCTCATTTAGTATTGAAAATGGTCTTTGCATAATTACGTCTAATTAGTTTCTTTTTTTTTTAAAACTCATTTTTCTAAATTTCAAACTTAATCAGATTTTCTGTTTACAAACCTTTTTCCTAAACTGAAATTTGAAAGTTATTTTTTCTTCTCGAGATTTAAATTCATTTTGTTATGTGATTGTTTTCTCCATAGCATTAGTAATATATTTTCATCAAATGAATAAGTATTTTAAATAAAACAAATGCTTCAATGATTTTAAAAAATTTTGGGTTAGGGTTTGTGCAATAATTAAATTATACCATTTATGATAATTTTCATTAAGGTTAAAATAGTTGGAAAAAGAAAAAGAAAAAAAAAAATAGACTTCCCTACGGGCTACGAGGACCCCTCTTTTTTCTTTATCCATCTTAATCGGGCCTTGAAGATAATCCTGATTTTTAAGGCTTGACCATGCCATATTGTCTCTCTTATTTTGGGTTTCTTTCCACATATGCTCATGATACCCTTTTGTAGTTGTGGATTTCTGATCCATTTTCTAAGTTTTATTTCATCAATATACATTTCTAAGTTTCCTAGTCAAGAAAAGGTCTTATATTTGGGTAGAGATGAATAATGTTTATGTATTTTGATACATATTTGTGTGAATAAATAATTCTTTTACTCACAATTAAATAAAATTATATTTGGAGGAATAATTATTATTGCACTTTATTTTAACAAATTTTGTAGGTTAAAAACATTGTAACAATGTGATTAATAATTTAATTCATTGGATAAAAATGTAATTACATAGTATAGGAATTATTTAGATTAAATTTTTAATTAAAAAGGCCTTACAATGTGATTATTTTTCAGAACACATGAGTTGGCAAGGGGCCATTAATTGATAATAAAGAAGAGTAATACTAACCTTACAAAGAGGCATACAAAGAACCATACAAAAAGTCAAATTCAGTCCTTGAAATTCATGATTACCTCTCTCTTTTTTTTCTTTCTTTCAATGACTGAATTTGACTCTTTATATGACTCTTTGTATGCCTCTTTGTAAGGCTAATATTACTCAATAAAGAAGTAGTGTCAAATTTCACTACACTCAAACACGTGCCACGTAACCTACCTTTTTTGGCGGGACGCCAACCATCCACTTAACTTTTTTTAAAATGATGGTATTTTTAGTTTTATTTATTTTTCTCTATTTTAATTTATCGATATTCTCTCAACCACGTCAGCTACGGACAAAATCAGAAATTGATTGCGCCTTCCATTTAAAACGCCGCTTGCCAACCTCCATTAGTTCCAATTACTACTTTAATATTTGAGTTAATATCTTGAATCTTTACAATATAATAATAAAAATTATCTTGAGATTTCAAAAATAAAAGAATTTTTTTGTCGTTAAGTTATACGTATTAAAGTAACTTATAGAAAACTATTTTTAGATGACCAAACCATTCAATAAAGACTCTTGCATACCCTTATTAACAAAAGAGAAAAGAGAAAAGACTCAAATTCATAACGTCTTAAGTAATAGTTTTACCTGACTAATAGTTTTAAGGTTCGAAAGATTAGTTATGGTGTGCGTAAACTGGTCTAGATATCCTTGGTCATAAAAAAATAAAAAGTTAATTATAAGAGGGTAATTGATGATACTGTATTTATTAACTTATAATGGTGTAAGTTTTAATGTCTTTACTAATAATTTATCAACACCATGCAGATTTTGTTATTTTGAAAACCTCCAAAGGTTTTTTTATTATTATATCATACATAAAAGTAATTAATGTCAATAACATTAATATTGTTAAGATGCTTTGTGAATTTTCTTTTATTTTTGATGTTTAGTTATTCTTTGAAGATGTGATGTAATGCTATTAGATTGTTCTTAATTATATAATCAAAATCTTTTGAGAATATAAGGCTTCGTTTGGCTCACATTTAGGAATACTATTGTTAGTATTCCTAATAAAGTTAAATAGTAAAATTGTAAAAACTCACAACATTATTAAATATTATTCAACTTTTTTTAAACCCCCTAAATTTATTAATTTAATTAAATACCCCTAAATATTTTTTTAGAAATTGCAAAAAAACCCCAGTAACCCACATTTACCAGATTCCTGCCATCACCGTCGGAAGATGGCCGGAATCTGGTATAATGACGCACTATCGACTGAATCTGACCGGTAGTACCCCAATCTAGCCTTTTCCGGTCAGATCTAAGGCCAAAGATCTGGCCGTTGACGGCAAGATCTTTGGCCGTAGCCAGTCGTCAACGATGGCCGTATCTTTGGCTATCGTTGACGAGCAAATACGACCAGATCTGACCGTCAATGGCCAGATCTAGCCGTAGATATGGCCTTTGCCGGCCAGATACACCGTGAATCTGGTCGAAAAGGCCATATCAACGCACGACTAGCAAGATCTAGCTGGTCATGCGCTGATACGGCAACTCCGGCCACCCTTCGGCGGTGGTGGCCTACTGTCCATATTTAATAGGTGGGTTGGGGGTGTTTTTGTTAACTTTTAATGTTTTATTATAGGGGTGTTTAGTAAATAAACAAACATAGGGGGTATTTTATAATTTTCAAATCCTACATTGTAATACCCCCCAATTCAACTTTTTTTAACTTTTTTCAAAAAACTTTTTTAAAAAGTGTAAAAAAGTGAACCAAACGGAGCCTAAGCATTTTAGGTACTGTTATCAGTTGTTGAAGAATTGATCCACGTGTTAGGCATTGGATTTTATAATCATGTCTCTTCAAAAAATTATATCTATAATACAAAAATTTTAAATTTTGAGGGTATAAAAATATTAAAAAAGTTGTGATTCGATATTTTTACCCATATTCCCAATCATATTCTCCAAATATTGTTTGGCACATTATTTGAGAAATATTAGTGTATTTTTTAATTACATTTAGACCCCTTAAGTTTATTAATTTCATAAATACCCCCAGAAAAAAGTTTAAAAATTAGCAAAAACACCCCCACCCATCCATATTTGCCAGATTCCGGCTACCATCGACTAGCTTACACGACAATTGGAAATGGCCAGTTATTCACCGATCTAGCTGTCATATGGCCGTAGATTTTATCTTTTTCGGCCAGATCCGTAGTAGATCTAGTCGGAAAAAGGCCATATCAACGCGTTACAACACAGATCCAATTGGTCTGTGTCGTAACGCAATTTTTCGGCCAGATTCCAATGGTGGTGGCTGGAATTTGGCACTACAGATGGTGAGAGTGTTTTTGTCATTTTAACAATTTTTATATATTGGAGTGTGTAATTAAATTAGTAAACTTAGAGGGTTTTTTAGAAAATCCTATACAAAATAATCAACCAAACACATCCTTTAATGTGCATAAGGGACATAAAAACAACTTTTCCCTCGCTCGTAAACGTGCAACACAGCAAGATCTGACGAGCATCCCCTCTTATTTTGAGGCGACCATGTTCTTTTCATCTCTTGTAAATCTATCAAAACCTTCTTCTTTTTTTGATTATCACGCTTTTAAAACAACCTTTCCCTTTTTCCGATCCTCACATTCTTATTCCTTTTCTGGGTATAAATTCCCCACAATGTGAATAATCAACTCTCATTCTCTTTTTACAAAATTCAGAAGTTTACCCCTCTCTAACGGCTACATTTCTCTCTCCTCCCCTCTTCTAATTGTCTCCAACGCTCTCAATCTCAGCAATCTTGCCCAAATTAACAAACCCTACTCTCTCTCTCTGTAGTTTACTGATCGGAATGAAGCACTTCATGCAGCCAAGAGATACAATCTTGAGAGACCCACTCATGTGAGTCACCACTTTCGTCGTCTCCAAACCCTAATTCAAAATTAAAGTCATTGTCCGCTGCCCCCACGCTCCATCGTCAGATCTGAACTCACTTCTTCCACCTTCTCAGGCATCTTCCAAGATTAAGAGTCCGCTGCCCCCACGCTCGCCCAATCCATTCAGACGCAAGCTTGCCACTGATACACTTCCCGAGAACGTAATGGTTGGGGTCCCAGACTCGGGTGTTCAAGTAATTATATCGATCTTCTTCTTTTCACTGGTTATTTGATATTATCTTTTTTAAATTTTGACAGTATTTGGGGAAAAAGTGACTCAAGCTTGAGAAAATGTAAATTGTAAAGCTTCTGTTTTGTTACTGTAAGGAAAAGCGAGAAATTGTTGAGTTTTTTTTTTTTTTTTTTTGTTCTGTATTAGAAGAGAGAGAGAGAAATTGGAAATTTGCGTACATGGTTAAAAATAAATACTGGGTTATATATTGCTGATATTCTTGAATGTTATTAAGTAGTTTTACTGCCCAACTGTATACAGAGTAGATTTTAATGTCTCTAGTTTGGATGGTGTGGATTAGGTGATAGTCCGAATACGACATGTAAATGAGGAAGAGGAACAAGGGGAGATGATGCTACAGTAAGTTGGCAATGATGCTTTGAAAATCAATGGACAGACATTCACATTTGATTTAGTTGCTGACATTGATTCGACACCGGTATTATCTCTTTTCTACTTGACTATTTGCATTATTACCATAAGGTGCTCAAATATAGGTTTGTTTTGCAGCTGGATTTTTTCCAGCATGTTGGACTCCCTCTCATTGAAAATTGTTTAGCTGGATTTAACAGTTCAGTGTTTGCCTATGGGCAGGTACCTTTTATTTTGCTTTTGATTCCTCTCCACTCATACCTTATTTTACATGTAATTATCCCATTAGCTTTCTTCATGTATCTGAAAATTGATTACACCAGACAGGGAGTGGAAAGACTTATACCATGTGGGGACCAGCTAACGCCTTGTTGGAAGAGAACTTATCAAGTGATCAACAAGGCTTAACTCCCTGTATTTTTGCGCGACTCTTTTCCCGCATAAATGAGGTGAGGTTCAACTATTTCAGGATTCAACTTGTCGAGGTATTAATCCTTTGCATTTTCATGATATCAAACCCTTGTACTTTCTTTGTAGGAACAAATCAAGCATGCTGAAAAGCAGCTAAATTACCAATGTCGTTGTTCTTTTCTTGAGGTTTTGTGACTGGACAGTATCCCTTTTGGTCTTGTGAAATTTAATGTTGCATGTCCTAATATATCCACATATTATTGCAGATTTACAACGAACAAATCACAGATTTGCTGGATCCAAGCCAAAGAAATCTTCAGGTAACGGAAGCACTCACATCCAGTAAAAGACCTACATAAATTCAGTTTTCCTTGACCCTGTTTTGCTTCTCCTTCCAGATAAGAGAAGATGTCAAATCTGGTGTTTATGTTGAAAATTTGACAGAGGAGTATGTATGCACGATGAAGGATGTCACACAACTATTGATAAAGGTTTGCTTCGTTTTGTCTTCTTAGACTGCATAGTGAGGATGCTTAAGGCGGGTTCCTAGCATTTGAGACTTTTTAGAGAATGCCTATAAAAGAAATGTTGTGTGAATCCTTGGCTAGTACAAACATGTATATATTCATTTTCCTTGTCGTTATAGTGTTTCTTTGCTTGACAAATTTAATTCCATGTTATGTTGACTATGACCTAATAGGTACACCCAACATATAGGAATTTTTCTTGGTGCTTGAATTTATTTTAAGGGTTTACTGCATGTAATGCTTGGCAACTCTATTTGTTTTTCTTTTTCCTTTTCTGGCATGTGAATAGAGTACACTACAAATTTATTAAGTGTTTGAACATAAAAGAAGGAGGTGTTTTTGGCAAATACAGTACCATGGTTTAGGAAATAGAAAGTTCAAAATATGGCAGTAACAAAAATAAGTTTCTTTTTGGATGATAAAGAAGGAAGTAAATATAAGAATACGTATCAAATATACAAATTGGTGATTCTTACACATAGGGAAATCATTCATGTTCTTCTAGGAGTTTGAATCTTCTCCATGTATCCTAGTTTCCAAATGACTCAAAAGGAGACAAAGAACTGACCAAACAAAAGAGTTAAGGTGACTTGAGAGTTTTTTAGTTTTCTTTTAGTTTATATATAATAGTGAAGGATTTATATGGAAGTCTAAGTTTTTCCGAATAATCAATAAATAAAATGTAATAAAGATTGACAAAGCATTAAATGTTTTACTGAAATTGTTTTTTACTCGAAGTATGCCAGTTTCACTTCTTTAAGGGGGATATATAATAGTGAAGGATTTATATGGAAGTCTAAGCTTTTTCGAATAATCAATAAATAAATTGTAATAAAGATTGACAAAGCATTAAATGTTTTACTGAAATTGTTTTTTCAAGAGAAGTATGCCGGTTTTACTTCTTTAAGGGGATTCAAATTGATGTATATTTGCTTACTGGACTGAGGCATTTTAAAGATTATTGCTGATGGTGTAAGGCTTTACCTTAGGTTCTCACCTCAGAATTGGAAGTTTAGCTAATTGATGAGGTTTCTGTAGAGAATTATCATATTCATCTTGTTTTGCTTTTATCTACTGCTTCTGGATCATAGTTAGTAGTTATTTTGGGGAAAATAAATTGGATTATTCACTTGTAAAATTCCTGTCTCCCCTCAATGTCTGATTTAATAATAAGAATGTTTCTATTTTTTCCTATTATTATTTCTCATTTTTTACCTATCTAGCTCTCTTCTTTTTTCTTTTTTATGTAAAAAAGCTATTTTTTTTTTTTTTAATTCATTATCACGACAATTCGGTTGGCCATTGTAGACATTATCAATATGCAAATCTTTTTAGATATTAATAATTATTATTTCTCATATTATCCTTGTTGATGTGAAGTGCGATGAAGTGTCTAAGATGGGGAAGACCACCACACCAATTTAACTCCAGGTTTAACTTGTTACTGTTATTTTACTTGCTGAATTTCTTCCCAATACTTCAAGTGATTGGTATACATACACCAAAGTACTTGGGATTATTTAAAGCAAATTTTACAAGTCATGAGAAGGAATTACAAAAGTCAGAGATTGGAATGCAGCTTTGTCTCTATTTATGTTATTAATATAATTTTTTTTTATGGTTCTTTAAATAAAAAAGAAATTAACAAAAAAGGAATTTCGTCTTTGTAGGTTAATGGTGTTGACTTAGCCGAAATTGCAGGTGGGCAGGCTGCAATAACGAACATGCATTCATGCAATGTTTGTTTTGCAACTTAACGTTTCCCTTAAACTTGGTTGTTCTACAGCCAAAAGTCCTGGTAGCAATTGCAGTTCTTTTATCATGATTTTCAATGGCATATCAATTGTCAACAAAATGCAATCTTTGGTAGATTTTAATATCTTAAGAATTGGTATTTGTCAGGTTCATGGACATCTCAAGAAGCAAATGCACGCTTAAAATGTGTTTATTTTCCAGTTACAGAGGTATGTGCCATACAGAGCACAACTCTTTTCTGCATGCTAGATAAATTCTGAAATTGTTGAATACAGGGGGGAGAGAGCATTGAAATGATTATAGAGAAGTTAAATTCTAAAGGACGGGAGTTCCTGAAAACTATGAAACTTTCAGTCGTGTTGCTATCTGTCATCTTGGTCGTCTTTTTCCAAATGCTCGCTGGGTAAGTTCTAAATCCTATGAATTCAAAAGAAGTTGATTGTGCTAAGTTGTGAAAATGCAATTGTTTTAATCACATAATGACTCACCTCAAATTCTACCCTATGTGGACATACATCCACAATGTGGTCAATGTTAATATATCATCTGCCACTTAATATAAATTCCCAAGGTAATTATGTGATTTACACCAGGCATGGCTTTTCTTTTATGGATTTGAGGCAGAAAAAGGGAGATAAGGCTCACCTACTGAAGAGATGTTGCTCAAGAGCAAAATGCTTCATTGGTAGGGTAATTGAATATTTTTTAAGTCACTACTATCCATGTACTTTCCAGTCACTGGGATGTGATTTGTTTTCCTCTCATATAAGGCATGTTCTACAAAACCTGTTTGGTTGTAGATACTAATGATAGTTTTAATCCGACACCTTCTAAGGTAAGGAATGTAGTGAAATTTCCATGTGTTTGTACCATCTCATGCTGCAACCTGTCTTTTCTACAGTTTTGTTTGATTGTGATTTGCTAAGCCCTCATTACCAAAGTTATTTTATGTATTGGGGCAGATTAGCGTATCTTTAAAAGCTAATGTTTTCTAAATATTAATTTGGAAAAAACATTTCTTATTACTAGTTGTTTCTACTCTCAGCATATGCCTGCAATGTTCAATTCTCTCTCACCAAGATTTTCAAAGATGGTTACTGACATTGCAACTAAACTAAAATAATTCTAAATTCAGTTTTTGGATGTGGTGAAGTAATTGTATACTCTTTTTGTGTTGATTTTTTTTTGTCAAATGACGATGATTTAACATATTGATTTAGCACACCAGAACCCGTTTACCATAGCTTTGAAGAATTTTGGTGTTATTACTTGTAAGAAGACAAAGGTAATTCTTATTTGCAAATTGTAAATATGGGGCTAGTTTTAATTAGTTTGTTTGAATTGTTACACTATCTTCCCAATGTTATAATTTCCAAATTTGCCGATTTCAATGTTGAAATTTGTAGAGCTGGAAAACTGTTAACTCCTTTGCAACTGGAAAAGGAATATCAAGACTGGCTTTTGCAGATGCATGATCATTATGATGAAGAAAATAACGTTGGAGCAGATCAACCAATTTTTAACATTAGCCCCAAAAACAAAAAGTCACCGGGCATTTCATCTGATGGTAGGCTTTGATTGATAAGGAATTTAACTTACATAACATTATTTTCCATTTTGCATAGTTTGCTTTTCATATACTTTGTTCAATTCCTTGGGTCTCTTTTTTATTCTTTTGTTGTTGATTTGTTTGTTTACTTGCTGTTTCTATCTGATGACATATCATATATATATTATTCAACTATAGTTTCAAGGGTGCACCAAGTACTAAAGAGAAAGGGTTTAACATGGAAATGAGGTCAAAGAGTTAAGGTTTTCAAGGGAGCATGTGCTGGAGTTCATAACAACAATATTTATGCAACAATGGAATATTTGGTCTTCAAGGGGATGCTGCTGGTAGGAAATGGTTTTAAGACTCTTGGACTTATAGAACATGACTATTAGTTTTCTTTTTATCATTTCGTAATAGAACAAACATATTATTGGCGTGTTTACATTATTTAATCTTCTTGCAAATTCTGATAAATTTCACCCTCCATTTTGTACATTTCTAATAGGTGATGCTCGAATTATATGCAGGTTTGCCATCTTGTGCATTTGTGGCTATAAAAGTTATATTTTTAGCGTATAAATATAATCCTTGTACTTTTTGTTTCACAAACATGTGATGTCTAATATCTTTTATGGTCTGAAAGGCCAATAGGTCTCATGGATAAGGAAGGATGTGTCCTCATGGAGAACAATGGGACTGTCAGCTTGGATATTTTTGGCTCCTCATCGTCACCTATTAGCATAATTGATTTTGGAAAGGTTTTCCATTTAGTTTCAATTTTGTCTTTATTGCTGCGTACATCCCTATTTCTTTGATATTTGTAAATTTTACTTGAGAGTAAGTGTTTTTTTTTTTTTTTTTTTTTTTTTTTTTTGTCATTGGCATTAGTGTGTATGTATGGACAATATTGATTGGGAATTGCAACTAGAGAAGCAACGTCAAAAAACTCCTGCTTTGATTGACTTGTTGAACGCAACACAATGTCAAAAAATTAGATGTTGATGGGGTCTGTATTCATCAAACTTCTCTTATTTTGGTTTAGCAAGGATGAGAACAATGATTAAGTTATCTAGAAATTCATAAATATAGAATGTCACAGCTTGTATATATGTAAACATATTCTCCATTTCTTTTGGCACTTAGCCTGAGGAACAAAAACTCAATCCCTTTCTTTTCTCTTCCATCAAGATATTTAATCACAACTAATTAGTTTTTGTTTCAGGCATTACCTTTCAGTGCAAAAGATGGAGAAGTACCTCTTAGAGAAATTGTGGTTGTTGTTTGGCCTACCAATGCTGTTTCTTCTAGTGCTTCAAAGAAGTTGGACCAAAAGTACATTGTTAAGAATAATTTAGAGATGATCATGGAAGTCGGATTCAAAGGTGAAAGGAAGAATCTTCAAAAGAGTATCAACATATACACAGCTAATGGACCACCTACTTCTACGAAAGGGTATCAAGGTTTATATATATTTGAATTCGGGTGCAAGTTACCAAACTTCTTCAGAATGTTGGGATGCATAGGTTTTTATTTCACCTTCCAAGTGATACAAAAGATTCTTAGCTCTTTTTGTTCATTGCAGTTTAATATGATATCGTTTCTTGTCTTTTATGATTATATAACCTCATATGATGAAATTTTGTGCTTTGGCCTCAGTCAAGCTGTAAGAGTTGTGAGAGACAGGTGGTAGTTAAGGGATCTTCTAAGGTTGGAAATTGGAGATTGTTGAGTTGTAAACAGAGCCCAAAGTTCTGTGTTCGGTAAGAAAACTTTTAACGAATCAGTTATCAATTTTTTTGTTCATGAAACTCACAGTAAAATCATTTCCATCTTCTGGCTGAGATAACTCATTCACACAAAATTTTGAAGAAACTTCGGATAACATTATTCTTTGCTAGTCTTAAGCCTAGAGTACAAAATAAGGGATGATAAGTAGCCCAAATAAGTTATCACAAGATGCTTCCTTTATTGCATAAGAATGAATTGCACAATTTCCCATCCTAGGCGTATTGTAGACAGACGAAAAGCAATTTTATTGACTCATTCCTAGAATTAAGTATGATACTCTTTATCATCCACTCAATCTCAATACAGTCTCTAAATAGGATTAATGACTAGTAAAACATCATCTTTTCATCTTTTAACCTACATTATGCATGGTGAGACTTTACAGCTTAAATATTATCGTTGGGCCTAAACCTATAAGCTTAAACTTTTGGTTTAAGTAAGTGCTTAATAATTCTATTTACCTTTCACATCAATTATCATGCATATTTTAATTCTTCTTAGGGAGTTTCCTCATCTTATTATTTTTCCCTTAACTAGCATTTTTAATTAGACTTAATAACCTTTTATATTCCCCCTTTTCTCATAAAATGACCATTTTCCACATAGTTGGTTCGTGCTTTCCACCTTTATCCATTGCGTGCTACGACATCTATGATAATCGGATTCCATTTGCATCTGTTATGGGGTGATAGTCAAACTTTATGCAAGCACGAGTGTTAATATTCATGTAGACAAGTTCAAGATACACCTTTCAGCTGATAAATTGACTCTTAATATTGAGGTATGAGTTCACACATGAGTATCTTTTATGTGCCCTTTTAAAGAAGTGCCTCTTATTTAAATAGTGTTAATATGTTTTTGGTGTGCATTAGCTCCTTGTTTAAGTTATCCTATTTCTACAGGATATTCTGATTGAAAGCTATGAGTTGGACAAGATCCAGCCACATTATTAGACTACCTTGGTAATATCTCCACAAGATGAATTGGTGTTAGTTTCAATTCCATGTCTAGGTATTCCAGTGATCTTAACAGATTTGCATCTAGAACCTGTTTCAATCTTTTTTCTAACATCATCTTGCCAATGTACTTTTATGTTTATATATGATTTATATATATGTATCAGTTATTCTTGGATCTTTAAAGCATGTCACTATCCAATCACCAAATTTTGGGAACAATTTGCTTCCAGGCTCTATGGTTAAGCAGCTTAAATATGAGGTATTTTGGGGATGTTATAATTTTCATGGCTAGACTTATTTTAGAAAACTTGTAATATCTTACGATTGTAATTAAGTATATTGTAGATTAATGAAGCAAACTGGATGACAAATCATTAGTCTCAAAGATTAATCTTATAAAGGAGGGGCTTAGCTGAACTCAGTTTAAAGTTAATTCTTATATATTGACATTGTATATATTGTACTGAGAACACTATTGATTATACAGATAATTATATGTTATTTGACAACCTAAGCATATCAATTGCATCAATGGGGTAGATTCCTTAATATTGCATATGGTATTTCACAATGTATTTTCATTTAACCCGTGGTACTTAGTGTATACTATTAATGTTTGATTTCAGTGCAGAAACTCGATGTTATTAATTTCCTTTTAGCATAATACATTTGTTAATCTTTGAATTCAATGCTGAAACATGATATTATTAATTTCCTTTTAGCATAATTCGAGATTTAGAACACTTTATGGAATATTAAGGTACTTCATCATAACAATTAAAGAAATATTTTTATGGCTCAACCTGCAACAATCAAACAAATGTATTATCTTTTAAGTTAGATAATTGGAAACTTGTATAGCTTTTGAGAGTGGTTTAAGGTATACTGGCTAACCTATTTAACCATTCATTTCTTCCAGATGTTTGATTCATATAGTAATCACGTGAACAAAGGTTTGGAAGCTGAATTGAACTTGGATGGATTTCGATTTGAAGATCAATTGGGCATAAAGCGTAAGGTCAGAATATTTCCTATATTAGGATTGTATTTTTGACAGATAATTCATTCATCTTTAACACATTGGTTCTTTAATGACTGCTAATACAGTATGGGAGTTCTAATTTTGCTAATACAGTATGTCCCAACTCCCACTTCCCATTCACATTAGTGCATTTGGGACTGTATTGTGGGCCGATTAAGGTCACAATGAGTCTGTAACTTGGCCATGTAATATTAAAGTTTTAATGCTGTGCAATATAATGTAACAAAGACACCCTGAAGGCCCATCTGAAAGTATATGTGTCCAAGTTAGTAATGTTCAAAAGTTCAAAGAGTTAATCAAATTCCTGTTCCTTATACGACAACATGATGTGCATCAGCCTGTTCTTATTGCTTATCTGACATCTTATGCATGATAAACTAATACTATAATTGTGCTTTGAGGTTCTACTGCATCTAGAGTTTACCATTTTTGTTTGTTACATGATCTGAATGTCCTGAAAAAGTTTGTAAACATAGGAGGACGATTATGGATGTGTTGACCTTAGTGGCCTCTTGAAAGTAACGGTTGGTTACGGAAAAAGTAGTTTGTGTCTTTATCTGACTGCATTTTTTTGTTTGGATATTTACTTGCCAGGCCGAAAAAGAAGATGATATTCTTTTATTACTAAAGCCCAATATTAGTCTAGTGAAATAGTAACATATTAAAAGCTTAGTGCTATCTAGTACTGGTTATCTCATATTTTAGTTGTGTACTGTAATTTCAAGGATGTAGACATTGGTTGATGGAAAATTCTTAGTCACTCATTACTTTGTAGCTTTTGGTTTCATTTGTCTATCTAAAAAGGAAAAATCTTTAGATTTTGCTTCTTGTGGGTAATTTGACTGATCATGAAAAGTTAAGTGTTACAATCGTTAATTGTATCAACGAAAATTTTTAGAATGCTGAGAACATAATCATGAACAATCGAATGTTACAATCGTTAATTGTATCAATGGATTTAGGTTTGTCCAGTGATTGCATTCTAACATTTCTTGCCTTGCAGTATCAATTAAAATTTTATGTGATAATGAAGTCATTTTCAATCAAGAGTTTCGAACTCAGAAAAGGGAATTGAGAATTGTATTTGGGGTTAGTGTGCTTTACTTTTGCCATCCCTTTGCGTAATTATTGGAAGTTTAAATGTCATTTTTACTAATTGTGTATAGAATCAGGTGCCTGAATGTTGTCCTATTGGTTCTCAACTTGAAAATATGGTTTTTGAGGTTGCTGATTGCAATGGTGATGCTGATGCAAGTATCCATGATAATGAGGAAGGTGGCCGATCCCGTACACTCAAGATAAGGTCAAAATCTATTGGCACAGAAGATTCAGTTCGGTATGCTTTCAGGCATGGGCACTGCACTGTTCCTGCTATTCCCCTTCCTCAGTGTGAGGGATGCTTTTGCTTTGTAGCTGTGCATTCTTGTTACACAGAGCTACATCTAAGCATCAATGTTGCAACAAATTTTATGTTAGTGATTAAATACTATATAGTTTTATCTATTTATGAATGGGTTAGAAAATAAAAACTAAAGAAATCAGGACATAGTAAGAGTCCTGAAATCCACCAAAAACACTTAGCAAACTTCTTTAATTGAAAGACTGTTGTGTCCACTGTTGGGTGTCTCTATCTTAAGAGCTTAGCTTTAGTATTAACACTTTATGATGATCATTTTTCAGTCACAAATACTACATTGTTAACTATTGGTTTGCATGTGTAGGTTCCTCTTTTGCAAAGTCCAAAAACGGAGTCCGGTGAGATACCTTCATATTTTGATGGAAAGTTACAACTTCTCGAGGGCTCAACTCCCCTCAAACATGTAGGCAACCTTGCGGTATCCATCATAAAGACTGAGAAGGTATTGTGTCAAATTCCATCTCTATATTATTTCTAAGATGTAAATGCATTTTTGATGCTAGAATAGATGCTTCATTGTCTTTGATTTATATGTTCCAGGTAGAGATTCTTTTCACTTTTTCTTAGTGCCTCGGTCAAAGAACACTTGAATTTTCCAAATTTCGGAAAGAACTTTTCCTACTGTTTTGAGTTTCAGTGTCCCTAGCTGAGTTGTTGTCATGTGCCAAATGTGGTGATGTTGCTTACTAATTGATAGTTGGTTTTAGTCTGAGCTTTGTTGTTTGGACTGCTTTTGTTGCAGGAACTTCAGCATGTAATTACAAATATAGTTCTAATTTGTAAATGCTTTTGTTGTAGGAACTTCAGCATGTAATTACAAATATAGTTCTAATTTGTAAATGCTTTTTGATGATGAAATATTTCTAATGTCCATGTTTCTATTATGCAAATACATTTTTGATGCTGGAATAGGTGCTTCATTGCCTTTGATTCAGTTGTTGCGGCTAGAGATTCTTTTCATTTGTTTTTAACGCCTTGGTCAAAGAAGACTTGAATTTTTCCATATTTCGTTCATGTAAAAGAACTTTTCCTACTGTTTTTGTGTTTCATTGTCCCCGTTAGTGTTCAACATTACTACTTAGTTGAGTTGTTGTCATGTGCCAAATGTTGTTTTGTTGTTTGGACTGCTTTTGTTGCAGGAACTTGAGAGTGAAATTTGCAAAATATAGTTCGCGTATCAGGAATCATGAAGTGGCATTGAAAATTGTTATGATCAAACGGCAGAAGTCGAGCAAGTCTTATCTCAATTGCAAGGTTTTGACTAACCTAATTTTCTTTCTCATTCATTAAAAATAATATGAAAATGAATCCTACTCAGTATGCATGATTGAATTACAAGATTTGGTGTAGAATGATAAATTTCACAAATTATTTGTCCGTTTTAAGAAAATTTTATGACCCACGAACTTTAATGTAACACATACTAGCTATTATTGTGTATCTTTATTAAGTTCAAGATCCAAAATGGTAAGTTGCTCAATATGGTGATAAGATTACACAATTTTAGGCAGTGATCATTTAAAGATGTCACTACTAATTTGGTTTATTTGTCATATAAATCTGTTGGAATCATGTGAACCGTACTGTTTTCTGATTTCCAACATTTTTTGTCTCTTCTATTTATTTGTAGCTGTTAAAATATTTGTTTGTCATGATTAATAGGTACATATTTACCTTGTTCACATCTTAATGTGTTCAACTGATTGAGTGTGGGACTATGTGTTTTGGGTCCTGTCATAAGAGTTAAAACGTTTAGGACATATTTAGACTGAAACAACAGTGTTTGTGAAATATGTTGCTTGATTATTTCCCCAAGCAAGATGAGAATTTATACAATGTACAAGTTACATGAATTAAGAAAGAATTGATCCTAAATAATCAAGGATATACACACAATATTAGTCTACCATATTTACACAAATCGATCTAGGAAATACTATCTCTATTTTCCTAATATATCTTAATAGTCAATCTAGGAAATAATATCTCTATTTTCCTAATATGTATTAACACTCCCCCTCAAGCTGGAGTATATATGTCATATGTTCCAAGTTTGTTACAAATGTATCCGATTCGGGAACCTTTGAGAGACTTAGTAAGAACATTTGCTAGTTGGTCATTTGAGTTGACAAAACTGGTGACAATGTATCTGGATTCAATCTTCTGTCGGATAAAATGACAATCAACCTCTATATGCTTTGTTCTTTTGTAAAAGACTGGATTTGAGGCAATATGCAGAGCAGCTTAATTTTCGCGTATTAGTTTCATCTGCTTCACTTCACTACACCCCAATTCTTGAAGAAGTTGTTTCAACCAGATGAGCTCACAAGTCGCGAGAGCCATAGCCCGATATTTTGCCTCTGCACTTGATCTAGCTACTACATCTTGCTTCTTACTCTTCCAAGATATTAGATTACCTCCAATCATGATACAGTATCTAGAAGTAGATCATCTATTTGATGGAGACCTAGCCCAATCAGCATTAGAATACCCAACAATTTGAGAATGACCCTTATTTTCATATAGCAAGCCTTGTCTTGGAGCTCCTTTAATATACTTGAGAATGCGAACTGTTGCGTCCCAATGACCAGCCTGGAGAAATTGGCTAACCACACTAACTGCAAAGGAGATATTTGGTCTGGTGATCGTGAGCTAATTCAGCTTACTAACCAATTTTCGATACCTTCCAAGGTCTTCTAATGGCTCCCCCTGTCCAGGAACAAGTTTGACATTGGGATCCATAGGAGAATCTACAGGCTTACAGTCTAACATACCTGTCTCCTCAAGAATGTCCAAGGCATACTTCCTTTGTGATATAGCAATACCAACCTTAGACTGTGCTACCTCAATCCCCAGAAAATACTTTAGCTTCCCCAAGTCCTTGGTTTGAAAGTGGCTAAACAGATGCTGCTTCAGTTGAGAAATGCCATCTTGGTCATTACCTGTTATGACAATGTCATCAACATAGATAACCAAGTATATAAATTTACCATGATTATTACGGCGGAAAAATACTGAATGATCAGCTATACTTCGCGACATCCCAAACTGTTGAATCACAGAACTGAACTGTCCAAACTATGCTGTAGGTGACTGCTTGAGACCATATAAAAACCGGCGTAGACGACACACCAATCCTGACTCCCCCTGAGCGACAAACCCTGGCGGTTGCTCCATATACACTTCCTCGGCAAGTTTATCATACAAGAAGGCATTTTTGATATCCAATTGATGAAGAGGCCATTGATACATGGCCGCTAAAGAGATAAGGAGGTGTACCGAAGTAATCTTAGCAACAAGAGAGAAGGTATCATTGTTGTCGAGCCCATAGATTTGACTGTACCCCTTTGTAACAAGGCGAGTCTTCATCCGATCAACTTTGCCATTAGGACCAATCTTAACAGTGTAAACCCAACGATACCCAACAACAGTCTTGCTTGGCGGTAAGGAAACCAACTCCCAAGTGCCATTATGATCGAGAGCAATCATCAGGACCAATCTTAACAGTGTAAACCCAACGATACCCAACAATAGTCTTGCCTGACGGTAAGGAAACCAACTCCCAAGTACCATTATGATCGAGAGCAATCATCTCCTCATCATGGTAACTCTCCACCTTGGATGTGCCATTGCCTCGCTAACAGTGTTAGGTATAGGGATAGAAGACAGGTTTGAAATAAAGGCAGAATAAAATGGAGATAAACTATCATAACTAAGAAAATTATAAATAGGATGTGGGTTTCGAGAAGATAGAATACCTTTGCGAAGGGCAAGTGGAGGAGTTCCCTTGTCTGCAGGAGGCATGACCAGAGCAGGCGACAGAGGAACAGGAGATAGGTCATCAGGATTGATCGAGGTACCTATATCAAGAAGGGAAGTACCATTGGGATTAGTAGGAGGACGAGGACGACGAGAATAAACTTGGAGAGGAGGACGATCCATCGACGAGGAAAGAGGGATAGGGATAGGTAAGGTGGCAGGGATAAGATTGCTATTAACGGTGTTTTCAGAAAAGTATGGAGATGTTTCAAAGAAAGTTACATCTGCAGAAACAAAATATTTGTTGGTGGTTGGGTCATAGCAACAGTAACCTTTTTGGAGAAGAGAATATCCTAAGAAGATACACTTAAAGGATTTAGGCTGTAATTTGTCTTTGCTTGGAGTGTGATCATGAACAAAGCAAATGCAACCAAACACCCATAAATGTATTGGGTATGGGTCTTTACCAGGAAACAGAATGTAGTGAGGACTCTTATGTTGCAAGACAGAAGAAGGCATACGATTAATCAAGTAATAGGCGGTGAGAATTGCATCCCCCCAAAATCGAAGAGGAACATGATGATGTATAAGTACAGTACAGGTTGTTTCAATAAGATGACGATTTTTGAGTTCAGCGACCCCATTCTGCTGAGGAGTATGGGCACATGAGGTGTGGTGAATAATACCCTGAGAAGACATATACTTAGTAAAGGGAGAAGATAGATATTCCCTAGCATTATCACTATGCAAAATCTTAATAGAAACACCAAATTGATTACGAATCTCAGCACAAAAATTCCAAAAGATAGAAAATAACTTAGAGCGAGTTTTCATTAAAAATACCCAAGTATTACGAGAATAGTCATCTATAAAAGTAACAAAATAATAGAAACCCAAAGTTGAACTGATATGACTAGGAACCCAGATGTCTGTGTGAACAATGTCAAACATTGAGATGACCCTATTATTGACTCGCTTGGGAAAGGAAACTCTAGTTTGTTTTCCAAGTTGACATGACTCACAATTAAAAGAAGATAATGTAGACATACTAGGTACTAATTTCTGAAATTTGGCAAGACTTGGATGACCAAGGCGGCTATGAAGAATGTCGGTAGATGCAGCGGAGGTGAAGGCAATTGGCGGATTTGGATCGGAGAGGTGGTACAGTCCATGTGATTCATGTCTTGTTCCAATCGTCTGACCTGTGTTCCGATCCTGCACCACAACAGGGTCAGCAAAAAAGGTGACAGAATAGTTAAGATATTTGGTTAACTTACTAATAGAAATCAGATTATATGGACATTCAGGGACGAATAATATTGAGTTTAAAGAAATGGAAGGAAGTGATCGAGCTTCTCCTATCCCTTTGACCATAGTCTGTGAACCATTAGCAAGAGTAATTTTTGATAAAGTGGGAGAAGAGGTAATTTGAGATAAAAGATTTTTATTACCAGAAATGTGGTCAGATGCTCCGGAATCCAAAATCCATGGGCCAGTGGAGGAGGTCCTGCTCAGATAGGCAAAGGAATTACCAGTTTGGGAGGCGCCAGATGAGGATGACTGTTGCTTGACAACTTGATATTGAAGATACTTATTGTAATCAGCCCCAGACAATGTAATGGAGTTGGGTTGTTGGTCTTTAGCATCGGGTAAAGGAAGGAGTCCATCTCCAGTTGCTTGAGCCACATGAGCGGTGGATTGATTAGAAGATTGACGTGGTGGCCTCCCATGCAAAGCCCAACAAGTGTCTCGGTTGTGGCCATTCTTGTCACAATAGGTGCAATGTGGTCTAGATCCCTTTCCTTTTCCCTTTCGAGAACCGCTCTATCCTTGTTGATTTCTTGCCTGAACAGTTGATTTTGATGCTTCTGCCATTGTAATCAAGAGAAGTGAGAGATAAATCCAAAACGGTAGAAACACCCTCTGTCAGAGTTGAATCACCAACAAGAAGGAAGAACTGGAGGAAACCGATCGCCTGAGAAGAACCAGAAGATGCCAACGAACCAGGAGAATCAAGAAATAAACTCCCCAAAAGCACAGAGGAGCGCCTCCTTTAAAGATATGTTATAAGGTTTCTGAAATAGATGGATTTAGAAGAAGAAGAAGGCCAAGAACCAGGTTGGCTCTGATACCATGAAACAACAGTGTTTGTGAAATATGTTGCTTGATTATTTCCCCAAGCAAGATGAGAATTTATACAATGTGCAAGTTACATGAATTAGGAAAGAATTGATTCTAAATAATCAAGGATATACACACAATATTAGTCTACCATATTTACACAAATCAATCTAGGTAATACCATCTCTATTTTCTTAATATATCTTAACAGTCAATCCAGGAAATAATATTCCTATTTTCCTAATATATCTTAACATAGACATGCAAGTTTCTTTGTTATTTTGAGGACTTGAAGGCACATTTTGTCATTCTCTGCCATGCCACAATAGCAGGTGGTCATTACAACATTGATGAAATAATAATATTTGTTTGAGAAAAGTTAAGTTCTCTAGTAGTACTTTTAATAATGGGACCTTTATATGTCATGACTTATTTGTGATGAGGATGCAAAAACATTTTGATATGAATTTTGTGGCAATTAAACTCTTTACGACTTGCAATTTGCAAAATATTTGTGGTATTGCAAAAAGTTGTTGGCATGATACTAAACTATATGGAGTTCTATGTTGAAATTATTTAAATTTGTTCCATATGATATAAACTTCATTGGAGGAAAAAAGAGTAATGGTCTAATTTTAATGTTCATGTTCATGTAAAATCAAATAGTTAGAAATTTGGTTTTATTTTCTACTTGCTACTTAAATTAAAGCACTACCTTCAATGTATTTATAAATGTGGCTCTAACAACATATTCGGTGGAAAACTGAAAATGGATCTGTTGTTGATTTGTTTACCAGCTTCAACTGAACCTCACATTTTGACTGATCCATACTCCTTGCTTACAAAAGAGGAAATAACTCTCGTCGTCCACCTCCTCCTGTTTCATGTCCGACACCAACTTCTTCGTCATCCGATCCAGTTTTAAATGATGATCTTCATATTGTATTGCGAAAAGGTAAGCGACAGTGTACGTATCCTGTTTCTTCTTGTGTTTTTTATGATCATTTGTCACATTCATCATGTTCCTTTATTACTTTCCTTGATTCTATTACTATCCTTAAAACTGTTCATGAAGACCTTTCTCATCTTGGTTGGCGTAATGCAATGAGAAAGGAAATGAATGCCTTAGCTGACAATGGTACTTGGAAATTGGTAGATTTACCTTCAGGGAAACAGACAATTGGATGTAAATGGGTGTTTACAGTTAAAGTTAATCCAGATGGGTTAGTTGCTCGGTTAAAAGCTCGTCGGGTTGCTAAAGGTTATGCTCAGACCTACGGAGTTGATTATTCTGATACTTTTTCCCTTGTGTCTAAGTTCACCTTTATTCGGTTGTTTATCTCTATGGCAGCTACTTATGATTGACCTTTGCATCAGCTAGACATCAAGAATGCTTTTCTTCACGACGATCTTTAGGAAGAGGTATATATGGAGCAACCTCCTAGGTTTGTTGCTTAGGGGGAGTATGGGAAAGTATGTTATCTTCGCAAATCTCTGTATGGTTTAAAACAAAGTCCTTGTGCTTGGTTTAGAAAGTTTAGTCAGGCTGTTGAGAGATTTGGTATGCTGAAATGTAAAACTGACCATTCTGTTTTCTACAAACGGTCTGAAGCTCGCATCATTCTTCTAGTTGTGTATGTGGATGATATTGTTATTACTGGGAGTGATAATGTGGGCATCACATCTCTTAAGTCTTTTCTCCATACCCAGTTCCATACAAAAGACTTAGAGATATTGAAGTATTTCTTGGGGGTTGAAGTTACAAGGAGCAAACGAGCCTCTCTCAGAGGAAATATGTGCTCGACTTATTAACTGAGACAGGGAAATTCGGGGCAAAGCCATGTAGTGCTCTGATGGTTCCTAATATGCAGCTTACGAAAGATGGTGAACTATTTGGAGATCCTAAGAAATATAGAAGATTGGTCGGGAAGTTGAACTATCTTACGGTGACTCGTCTAGATATTGCATATTCAGTAAGTGTTGTCAGTCAGTTTATGGCCTCCCCAACAGTTCATCATTGGGCGGCTTTGGAGCAGATCTTGTGTGATTTGAAAAGATCCCCTGGATGTGGTATATTATATGCCAATCATAGTCACTCTCATATTGAATGTTTCTCAGATGCAGATTGGGTAGGTTCCAAGGTAGATAGAAGATCCACATCAGGCCATTGTGTCTTTGTCGGAGGAAATTTAGTATCATGGAAGAGCAAGAAGCAGAATGTCGTGTCATGATCAAGTGCAGAGTCGGAATATAAGGCTATGGCACAAGCTGTTTGTGAAATAATGTGGATATATCAGTTCCTGATTGAAATAGGCCTTGAAACTTCAGTACTAGCGAAATTATGGTGTGATAACCAAGCGGCTTTTCATATTGCATCTAATCCAGTGTTCCATGAACGAACGAAACACATTGAGATCGATTGCCATTTTGTTCGTGAGAAACTACAACAAGGTCCGATTTTCACTGGGTACATGAAGACTGGAGAACAGTTGGGAGATATCTTTACAAAGGCTCTGAGTGGGATTTGAGTTGATTATCTTTGTAACAAGCTGGGTATGATTGATATTTATACTCTAGCTTGAGGGGGAGTGTTACAAATGTATATAACTTCCTGGATTATAGGGATTACATTGATATCCTGGATTATTGGGATCACATTGACATCCTGGATTATAGGGTTCACATTGATCTTGTATCCTAATAGAAATTGATCACCTACCTAGTTTAGAACACTACGAGTGTATATAAATATGTATACTTTTAATCTATGGATGACAAGAGTGAATATTCTTCCTTAGTACGTCTTTACATTTATGTAAAACTCTAAATCTTTCTAAGCTATATTTTAACAATTTATTGTCAAAAATTATTCACATATACCTTTATTATCTAAACTATTGTAGAACAATCTGCATTTTATGAGTTCGATTAGACTATAGATGCAATACAGCTGATGCACAAATATTCCAAATTTTTTTCTTTAATACTTTTCCTTTATAATTTGTTGTGTTGTCTGGTTTGTTTCATTATTTGGAATACTTACTGGGAGTACTTCGATCGGTGAAGGTTTAACGTGCTTATCACTTTGATTTATGAATTCCTTTTCTCCATTGGGAGATGGATGTTAGTGAAATAGTCTGAGGCTTAGGACCTTGATTTGATGTTAAATATAAATCTTTTGATACGCTAGTGAAGTTTTATAACTAGTTCTGTCTGTACTCTTGCAGATTTTCCTGTTTTACGTCTCCTTGATTTTGCTGAGTTGTTGGATAAATACTGATCTTTTGGGTCAAGCGGTTTGTTGGTGTTTAGTTATTTACTTTGAATTACGGATGTTGATAAGGCCACCTAATTTTTGTCTACAATTGGCTATTTTTAGTTAAACAAACAAATAATGAGTCAGTAATAGACATCATTGATCATGATGGTGAAACTTCTGACATAGAAATGACAGTTGACACAAAGTTTGTCATATTTCTTATGTAGTTATGTCAACGCTGTTAAGTTCCTATTTATTGATTCAAGTTGGTTTTTAATGGTTAGTCTTAGGTTTGAGAAGTTGACTTCTTTGCTTTGCCTTGATTAATTCATTGAAATATCTTGAAATTGGTTTGTAATCTTTGAATTATTTTCTGTATAATTGTCTTTGTGGGCCTTTAGATGGATATTAACTTTGTGGACAACTTGTTCATTCTTTTGTAATTATTAAAGTCGATGATATTGACAATTTTCCATGTTGACCATAAGTGTGCTTAATTAGCTTGGCAATGTGACTATTTGATTGTTTTTTGTGCACTAAATTTTCTTTTTCTTTTCTTGTGGGGATCATACCGTACTTACATTGTATTTCTTAATTTTTGGAAAATATTTGAGCCTAAGCTAAAAAGCTTGAACAAATTTCAACTGCTGTGCAAGCTAAAGGACATCTACTTCCCTTATATTCAGGTGTCTTTGCATAAAAAAAAAAAAAAAAAAAAAAAAAAAAAAAAAAAAAAAAGACCTAAATCTTATCCAGTTAATTTGTGGTTTCATACATGAATATAAGTGTAATTATATAATATATTTACCACATTTCTAGATTTTATGTATAGTCTTATAATTATTTGTATTTATCTCCTTATTGGTGTATAATGTGCAAAAAGCATAAAAAGCATCGTTAATGTCACTCGTCTCTGTCCAGAAGCAGTAAAACTGTGGAATAAAGTATGTTGAACTGCCAATTTGTCTTGGCAGCTTAGGCCTGTTCTGTTTCTCTGCTTACCGAAAATTTTTGTGCTTTTGGAGGTGGTAGAAAAGCTTCATCATCATTCAACTGTGGGATTTTGGCTACTGTTTGAGTTATTTATCAGAAAGGAACAGGATGATTTTTGAAAATGTTAAGAGTAGAGGACATTGACATTTTATTGGATACAATAGTGATGTTTAGTTGTTAAACTGATGAGTTTATTTAATTGTAAATGTTTGAGAACACTGTGTGTATTGCAAGTGAAAGCACTCATGGATCATTTCCATATGCCTACCAGCCGAGGTATTTGTTGCTTATGGATTTCGGTAGAAAATATACGGCAATACATTTGCATACGTAAGGCATTGCCTTTAATGATAAGAATGTTCCTATTTTTGCTGTTTTTTCCTATTGTTATTTGTCATATTTTACCTATCCAGCTCTTTTCTTTTTTCTTTTTTGTGTAAGAAGGCTATTTTTTTTTAAATTCATTTTCATGACTATTCGGTTGACCATACAAAATTAATTTGATTGTAGACATTATCAATATGCAAATCTTTTTAGATATTAATAATTATTATGTCTTATATATTATCTTGTTGATGTGCAGTGCGATGAAGTATCTAAGATGGGGAAGACCACCACACCAATTGAGCTCCAGGTTTAACTTGTTACTGTTATTTTACCAGCTGAATTTTTTCCCAATACTTCCAAGTGATTGGTATACATATGCCAAAGTACTTGGGATTTTTTAAAGCAAATTTTACTAGTCATGAGAAGGAATTACAGAAGTCATAGAGATTGGAATGCAGCTTTGTCTCTATTTATGTTATTAATAGAATTCTTTTTTATGTTTCTTAAAATAAAAAAAATAAAATAACAAAAAAGGAGTTTCGTCTTTGCAGGTTAATGGTGTTGACTTAGCTGAAATTGCAGGTGGGGAGGTTGCATTAATGAACATGCATTCATGCAGTGGTCCTGAGTTTGTTTTACAGCTTCACTTTTCCCTTAGACTTGGTTGTTCTACAGCCAAAAGTCCTGGTAGCAATCAGTTCTTTTGTCATGATTTTCAAAGGCCAATAGGTCTCATGGATAAGGAAGGATGTGTCCTCGTGGAGAACAATTGGACTGTTAGCTTGGATATTTTTGGCGGCTTATCATTACCTATTGGCATAATTGATTTTGGAAAGGTTTTCCATTTAGTTTCAATATTCTATTTATTGCTGCATACATTTCTATTCCTTTGATATTTGCAAATTTTACTTGAGAGTAAGTATTTATTTATTTTTTTGTCATTGGCATTAGTATGTATGTATTGACAATATTGATTGGGAACTGCAACTAGAGAAGCAACATCAGAAAGCTCCTGCTTTGATTGACTTGTTGAACGCAACACAATCAAATTTGATGTTGATGGGGCCTGTGTTGATCAAACTTCTCTTACTTTGGTTTATCAAGGATGAGAACAATGATTAAGTTATCTGGAAATTCATAAATATAGAATGTCATATCTTGTATATTTGTAAAAATATTCTCCATTTCTTTTGGCACTTGGCCTGAGGAACAAAAATTCAATCCCTTTCTTGTCTCTTCCATCAAGATATTTAATCACAACTAATTAGTTTTTGTTTCAAGCATTACCTTTCAGTGCTAAAGATGGAGAAGTACCTCTTAGAGAAATTGTGGTTGTTGTTTGGCCTACCAATGCTGTTTCTTCTAGTGCTTCAAAGAAGTTGGACCAAAAGCACATTGTTAGAATAATTTAGAGATGATCATGAAAGTCGGATTCACAGGTGAAAGGAAGAATCTTCAAAAGAGTATCAACATCTACACAGCTTGTGTACCACCTACTTCTATGAAGGGGTATCAAGGTTTATATATATTTGAATCCGGGTGCAAGTTACCAAACTTCTTCAAAATGTTGGGATGCATAGGTTTTTATTTCACCTTTTAAGTGATACAAAAGATTCTTATCTCTCTTTGTTCATTGCAGTTTAATATGATACCGTTTCTTGTCTTTATGATTAGATAACCTCATATGATGGAATTTTGTGCTTTAGCCTCAGTCAAGCTGTAAGAGTTGTGAGAGACAGGTGGTAGTTAAGCGATCTTCTAAGGTTGGAAATTGGAGATTGTTGAGTTGTAAACAGAGCCCAAAGTTCTGTGTTCGATAAGAAAACTTTTAACGAATCAGTTATCAATTTTTTTGTTCATGAAACTCATAGTAAAATCATTTCCATCTTCTGGCTGAGATAACTCATTCACACAAAATTTTGAAGAAACTTCGGATAACATTATTCTTTGCTAGTCTTAAGCCTAGAGTATAAAATAAGGGATGATAGATAGCCCAAATAAGTTATCACAAGATGCTTCCTTTATTGCATAAGAATGAATTGCACAATTTCCCATCCTAGGCGTATTGTAGACAGACGAAAAGCAATTTTATTGGCTCATTCCTAGAATTAAGTATGATACTCTTTATCATCCACTCAATCTCAATACAGTCTCTAAATAGGATTAATGACTAGTAGAGCATCATCTTTGCATCTTTTAACTTGCATTACGCATGGCGAGACTTTACAACTTAAATATTATCGTTGGGCCTAAACCTATAAGCTTAAACTTTTGGTTTAAGTAAGTACTTAATAATTCTATTTATCTTTCACATCAATTATCATGCATATTTTAATGCTTATGAGGAAGTTTCTTCCTCCTATTATTTTTCCCTTAACTAGCATTTCTAATTAGACTTAATAACTTTTTATATTCCCCATTTTCTCATAAAATGACCACTGTCCACATAGTTGGTTTGTGCTTCACCTTTATCTAGGGCTGTAAACGAGTCTGACTCGGTAAAGCATTAAACGAGTTCGAGCCGAGTCACAAGTCAATCGAGTTAGGAAAATTCGACTCATGACTCGACTCGTTTATAATCGAGTCGGCTCGTGACTCTACTCGAACTCGTTTGACTCGACTCGAAAAGCTCGATTATGACTCGATTAACTCAAGCTCGAACTGGGTCGATTACAGCTCGATTACGGCTAGTTTGGCCCATTTTTAATATAACCCGCAGATCTTGTTTTATACAAATCAAATCCAATTTTTGATAAATTTGCATCCAAATCAACATAAATCACATCCAAATCAACACAAATCACATCCAAATCAACACATCAACAGTGTATTACACAACAAATTATAAAATCCTAAAACTTTAATTGGGGTTTGGGTTAATTTGCAACATTTTAAAACTTTTACATGTCAATTACAAAACAGACCTAAAACTTTTATTTTTTGCATAAAAACCCTAAACGAGCCACTATGGACTCGTGAGCTGAATCGAGCCATAGTACCTAATTCGAGTCTTATTCGAGTCGGCTTGGCTTTTTATAATCAAGTCGACTCGCGAGCATCTCGGCTCGGTTGACACCCCTACCTTTATCCATTGCGGGCTATGACATCTATGATAATCGGATTCCATTTGCATTTGTTACGGGGGTGATAGTCAAACTTAATACAAGCACAAGTGTGAATATACATGTAGACAAGTTCAAGTAGACCTTTCAGCTAATAAATTGGCTCTTAATATTAAGGTATGAGTGCACACATAAATATCCTTTATGTGCCCTTT